GGGCAAGTCATGGTTCTGGCTAGAGGAAATGGAAATTTTTGGAAAAATTAAAAAAATGCTACATTAGCATTTCTTTTGTCTTTTCTAGATTGAAAGTCATTCTGTTACTTTAGGAACATAAAATATGACTATGGACATTTTTACTTGGCATGAAATTATCACAACTAGCATATTAAAGATATAGTGTATCCAAACAATTATTACAAACAGAATACCCACCCACATGCAAAAGCAAAACTGAAACCTTTTTATTTTCTTCTGACAATAGCACCTCCTAAAGGAAGAACATTATGTGAAAATATAGGATGGCAGTTTTAATTCCATGTCGCAGTATGCACCTTGCTCTAGTTCAAAGAGTGAATGCTTGTGAAAAAATGAAAGAAAAAATTAGCAGGAGAAAAACAATATTTCAAAATACAGAATGATGCTTCTAAATTGCAACCTTAAGATCTGAGCAAGAATTGCAATCAGAGTTACACCCTTCTGCAAGCAGAGTTACACCCTTCTGAAGTCCACTGAAGTCATATGTAAAGCAAGAAAGGAAATATGTTACTGGAGAGTTCAGTTTGTAACCTAGGACTTACTTGTCCTCAGTGCACAGAAATTAGATCAATCTGATACCATATATATATATATTAGAAATGATTTGGAAAATATTTGAACACCTTGTCTTAAAATATTGTATTAATCATGTTAAAATAAAACGTTCCATAATCAATTTTTTTTCTTTTCTTTTCTTTTTTCAATTTTTCCATTTTTCGGAAAAAAAAACAAAAAGGCTTCCGGGCCTTCACATCTCTAGTTCTGGCACAGCTGTTCTTGAAAAAGAGCAGTTTCTGTCAGAGCTCTCAGCCCCACCCACGTCACAGGGTATCTGTTGTGGGGAGGGGGAGGGGGAGGGAAAGGAGTTTGTGAGCCGCTCTGAGACTCCAGTTCTTCCACATCAAAAGCACCTTGCAAGCAAAAAAACCGAGCAAAGCAGGCAGGAAGGTTCTACCGCCACGCTTTTCTTGCCATGCTAGCTTCTAATCTGGGAGAACCAGGTTTGATTCCCCACTCCGCCTCCACATCCAGCTGCTGGTGTGACCTTGGGTCAGTCACAAGTTGTCTCAGAGCTGTTCTCTCAAGAGCAGTCTTCGAAAGAGCTCTCTCAGCCCCACCGACCTCACAGGGTGCCTGTTGTGGGGAGGGGAAGGGAAAGGAGTCTGTAAGCCGCTCTGAGACACCTTTGGGTAGTGAAGGGCGGGGTGTAAATCCAATCTGTTCTTCTGCTTCTCTATAGCCAGAACTAATGGGGGGAAGTGTACAAAAACCCCACCTTTGGGGCTCAGAGACTGCCTGGGGCTGGCCACCCAGCCACAGACCAGCTGACCCAGTGCTGACTTTAGGTCACCCATAACGTTTCTTCTATTTGTGTCCGCTATCTTTTAAAGGTAAAGGTTCCCTTGCCCGAAAGCCAGTCGAGTCCGACTCTAGGGTTGCAGTGCTCATCTCCGTTTCAAAGCCGAAGAGCCAGCGCTGTCCGAAGAAGTTTCCGTAGTCATGTGGCCGGCATGACTAAACACCAAGGCGCACGGAACGCTGCTACCTTCCCACCGAAGTGGTACCTATTTATCTACTTGCAATTTCTTGCTTTCGAACTGCTAGGTTCGCAGGAGCTGGAACTAGAGATGGGAGCTCACTCCGTCATGCGGCACCCGGGTCTCAAACTGCTGAACTACCGACCTTCCACAGCCTGCAGTTCAGCGTCCTAGCCACTTGAGCCACCGCAGCTCCCGCTATCTTTTACAGAGCCATAATAGAAAGCCGCCCAGGGCTACACAGAAAAACACACCCGTCCTAAAAACCTCTGAAAATGACCCCACCGAATCTGTGCATTCGAGCAACAAAAGAAGGAGTGGCCCGGCCATAAAACCGGCTCCCTGACTTCTGGCCAAGAGCTTTTATAGCCCATAAAAATATTATAGCTCTTGCGGCAGATAAAATGGGTACCATTAAAATTCAGGGTGGTGGGGTGGTGATGGTGGGGGGTGGGTGGGGTGCGGAATGGCGATTGAGCTGGGCAGAGCAGAAAACCCAGATGCTCGCTCAGATCACAAAGACTGAGTAGCCCCATGCCTGAGCGATGGAACTGCCAGATAAAATTAAAAAGAGGAGCCAGAAGGTGGAATTCCAGCTTCCCGGGGCAGCCCAGAGAAGGCCCCGTCGCCCACTCACCTAATGTAGAGCGATCCCTCCTGGAGCTCTTTACAATTTATTTTATTCTTATCTTGTTGATGGTATTTTTAGTCCGCCTTTCTCACAGGGACTGAGTGAGCCAGTCCAAGCACAAAAAACCCGGGACATTTAATAACCCATGCATTAGGATTTTGGAAGTGGAACAGGCTTCCTCGGGAGGTGGTGGGCTCTCCTTCTTGGGAGCCAGTTTGGTGTAGTGGTTCAGTGTGCGGACTCTAATCTTGGAGAACCGGGTTTGATCCCCCAGTCCTCCACTTGCAGCTGCTGGATGACCTTGGGCAAGCCGTAGTTCTGTCAGAGCTGTTCTCTCAAGAGTAATTCTCCAGAGAGCTCTCTCAGCCCCGCCTACCTCACAGGGTGTCTGTTGTGGGGAGGGGGAGGGAAAGGAGTCTGTAAGCCGCTCTGAGACTCCAAGTGAAGGGCGGGGCATAAATCTAATCTCCTCCTCCTCCTCCTCTCGGGAGGTTTTTAAACAGAGGCTAGATGATCAACTGACAGCCATGCTGTGGATCACAAGAAGGGAAGGCAGGGAGGGTTGCCTCAGTGCTTAGTTCGCGTGGCCCTTTCTGACATGCCCAGGGAAATGCTGATCGCCACTTTGGGGTCAGGGAGCCATTTATCTCCAGGCCGGTTTGGCTGGAAATGTTGGAGGTTTTTGGTCATCTTCTGGGCATGGAGCAGGGGTCACACTGGGGGTGTGGAGAAGAAAGTATTTGTGAATTTCCTGCATTGTGCATGGGGTTGGACTAGATGACCTTGCGAGGTACCTTCCAACTCTGTGGTTCTATGCCTGCCAGCCTGATCCGAGGACGTTCCACAAAAAAGGGTTCAACAGACCCTCCTCAATGAGACAAGGAGAAATCAACCACAACAACTTCCACTGAATTAAATGGAAGTCCAGTGGCGTCGAGAAGACTAAGGATGCTCACCCCCAGCATTCGTTCTCATGACCCAGACATCCCTCTTCCGCAGATATACGGACTTACTCGAGTCGCCCAGGATGACCACGAACTTGTTGTGCAGCAGTTGCTGAACTTCCTTCGAACGGAAACTGGGCATTGTCGCCGGCGTGCAGTTTCTCAGGGGAGAACGATCGTCCGACTCCTGTTAGAAGGTCAGATGGGAGATCTGAAAGGGAGAGAAGAAGAACGTTGGACGCAGACGGGCATCACAAAAGTCCTCGGAAGCAGAGTCAGGAGTACTCCATGGCTAAACACACGAGCAGAGCAAATGCTAGAAGTTAGCCATTGTAGATTTTCCGGGCTGTCTGGCCGTGGCCTTGGCACTGTAGGACCTGACGTTTCGCCAGTAACAGTGACGGGCATCCTCAGAGGTATAACACAGAAAGATGGAGTACTCTCTGTGTCGAGGTGAGACAAAAAATGGTGGGCGGGTCATTTATTATTAGAAGAAGACGGAGAAGATGAAGAGGAGGAGGAAGAGGAGGAGGAAGAGGAGATTGGATGTATACCCCGCCCTTCACTACCCAAAGGTGTCTCAGAGCGGCTTACAAACTCCTTTCCCTTCCCCACCCCACAATAGGCACCCTGTGAGGTCGGTGGGGCTGAGAGAGCTCTGACGGAAACTGCTCTTTTTCAAGAACAGCTGTGCCAGAACTTGTGACTGACCCAAGGTCACCCAGCTGGCTGCATGTGGAGGAGTGGGGAATGAAACCCGGTTGTCCCAGATTAGAGTCCGCACACTTAACAACAACACCAAACTGGGTCTCAGGTGAGGTAGAGCTGGGTCATTGTCTTGCAGGAGTTCCCCAGGCTGTGAACATGCTAATAGCGGAGCTTTCCTGAGGAGGTTCTTTTGTATATGGATTGTTTCCTGAGGAGGTTTCCTGTTTCCTGAGGAGGTTTCCTGTTTCCTGAAAGATATGCTAGTCAGCTACTGGGGGGGGGGGGGGGGGGGGTGTGCTGGTTTGGGTGGGGGGGGCAGGGAGTTCTGGCTACAGATGCACAACTTCAACTGCCCCCCTAAACAGTAGCTGAGTAGCAAACCTTGGTTAACAAGTGCCCTGGGGTGATCTTGGGTTGCCAGCAACATTCCCTCTAAGCGGAGTCCGTGCGAGACAGCTCACAGTTTTTTAGCCTCCGGCTCACACATTTTTGTCTTAGCTCAGGAAGGGCTCCAGAGCAAACTAATCTATGCAGTAGCCAAATTGTTCGCTCACAAGATTAATGCCAGGAGCTCACAAAGCAGAATTCTTGCTCACAAGACTCCACAGCTTAGAGGGAACATTGGCCCTGGGGTGATCTCGGATTGCCAGCAGCCTTCCCTCAATGTGGAGTCAGTGCGGGCCAGCTCACAGTTTTTTTAGCCTCCGGCTCACAGATTTTTGCCTTCGCTCAGGAAGGAGGGCTCCCGAGCGAACTAATCTATGCAGCCGAATCGCTCGCTCACCACTTTAATGCCAGGAGCTCACCAATTAGAATTTCTGCTCACAAGACTCCAGAGCTTAGAGGGAGCATTGGTTGCCAGCCTCAAGGCAAGGCCTGGAGATCTCCGGGAATAACTGATCTCCAGACAGCCGTTCCCCTGGAGAAAATATCTGCCCTGGAGGGGGGGATTCTCCGGCCTCACAAATCAATGCTGAAGTTCTTCTCCTCTTCCAACCCCACCCTCGCAAGGCTCCACCCCTCCCCCCAATCTCCAGGAATTTCCCATCCCCAAGCTGGCGGCCCTAGGATGACCCCGGAGCTCTTCTTAACCCGTCACCCCTGGAAATCAGACTACCGGGTTGAATCCTACAGGTCCATTCTGTAAAGTACTGGGTTCGCCGCATGGAAGCCTCGGACCACGACGTGCCTTAAGACGCGTCGACTGTACTTCACACAGAAACTGCAAAAACGGCCCTGCAAGGCCAACCATATACACACCCACACAGTCCCGTTCGAGGGTTTGAATTTCCCGCCAAAGTTGCTATTGGTGAATGCTGGGGGAACTCAGATCCTAGGCTTCTATTGTTTAGAGGAGCTAAGCTCCCTACTGTAGCCGCGGACCCCTGGTGGCGGTCCGCGTACATAACACATTCCACCAACAACGGCTCTTCTCCACCAGTTTGGTGTAGTGGTTAAGTGCGCGGACTCTAATCTGGGAGAACCGGGTTTGATCCCCCACTCCTCCACTTGCAGCTGCTGGATGACCTTGGGCAAGCCACACGTTCTCTCGGAGCTGTTCTCTTAAGGGCAGTTCTGGAAAGAGCCCTGCCTACCTCACAGGGTGTCTGTTGAGGGGAAGGGAAGGGAAAGGAGTTTGTAAGCCGCTCTGAGACTCCGAGTGAAGGGCAGGGTATCAATCCAATCTCTTCTTCTTCTTTTTGCATTCTGTTGACCATTGACACAAATTCTATTGATTAAGCCAGGGGGACCCAATGTGGGGCCTTTTCTTGTACCCGATACACGTTTTTGGGATGTGGTTGGGGCTTCCCCCCAGGCAGGGTTTGTGATTGGCTGTGTGGATTTTTAAAAGCAGCCAACCACAGCACCCGGCTCTTTTCTGTGTGACTGAAGGTGAGGTGCGGCAGCCGTTTTTTGGCTGGCTCCGCCTTCTGTGTCAGCCGTTTCGTGGTCGCACCCACCACCCCGTGTCGGAACCCCAAAGGTGGCCACAGGCAGTGTTCCCTCTGAGCCGAGTCAGTGTGAGCCAGCTCACAATTTTTTAGCCTCTGACTTACCCATTTTTGTCTCCGCTCAGGAAGGAGGGCTCCAGAGGCAACCAATTGATGCAGCAGCCAAATCGCTCGCTCGCAGCTTTTATGCCAGTAAGCTCACAAAGGAGAATTGTCGCTCACAGGACTCTACGGCTTAGAGGGAGCATTGCCCACAGGCTCAAAACGGTTGGGGACACCGGGATCGATTCATTAAAACACCAATGTTTTTTCCTTCAGTTATGCAGCAGTGCAAATTTCCCCAGGTTTCCTTTTAGGATGGCGGCGGGAGGGGGGGGGAGACACACACATGCAGAAGGAGAAGAGCAGACGTTGTGGCCTACGTGAGACAGAAATGCCGGATCAGGTTCGGTGTGTCCCTCGGCCTCAAAACAAACAAACAAAAGGACTCCTGTGAACCCTCAACTTAAGTCCCAGAGACTCCCTTGGGAGTCCTTCTGCTGGAGATAAGCCACTGTTCTATCGGCAACAGTGTGGTTTCTGCACAGGGCCATATTCATTCATTCATTTGTTCATTCATTCATTCATTCATTCATGGGTCATTCCCTACAGGAGCGCACAGGAGTGGAGCTCCAGCAGTAAAGAGCCCAGGGGGCAGGCACATGCAACAAGCCCCACCCCCTGCTCCCAGCAGCCCTCAGTCAGAGCAAGAAGCAGCCAGGTAAGTTGCAGAGCCCCCCCCCCCAGCTCCCTGGTCCAAAACAGTCCAGTGGCACCTTTAAGACCAGGTTTTACTCAGGTACAAGCTCTCCCTCCTCTGCGAGGACAGATCTGCACGCCCCCCCCCCCAATAGCTAGCAATCCAAAAGAGTCCAGTGGAGCCTGAGCGGTGGGTGTTGCCTTCTGACACACTTCCGGTGATGTCAGGGGGTGTGGCATATTCAAATAAGTTATGCTAATGAATTATGCTAATGAGCTTCTGCACCTCTTTTTCTACGAAATGACCCTTGCATTCATTCATTCATTCTTTCGGTTTATCACCCACCCTCCCCTGCATAGCAAGGCCCAGGGAGGGTAACGACAACAAAATTAGGTCAAAAACCTTTAACAGACGTTTAAAACAACTCTAAAATTCACAGTAACCGATAAGGCGGCACATAAAGAGAGCATAAACAATGCCTCATTTCCCGGCAGTAAGAGAGGGGAAGGAAGGAGAAGGACAAGGATGGGGAAAAGGAGAAAGTCAGCCTGTCAGGTAGCCCTGCCATAGGTCTGGAATCTGGAGGGGTGCCCTCCTGTTTTCTGTCTCCGCTCTCCCTGGCTCACCAGATGTTCACTATCTTATGCTTGACCTTGTAGATGCTCCAGCTGCACTTTTACCCGGCTGGGAAAGTTAACGGCTTTTGCTTTGCCCACGCGCGGGAGATGTATCCATTAGCTCATGCTTACCGGGGGGGGGGGGGTGTTTGATTCTAGTATAAGTCAGAGGCCCTAGTATTGGCGGCCATTCCTGACACAAGCTGTACACGTGTCTCTAGTACTGGATCTACCAATAAACAGTTATCTTCTCATGAAGCCCTGTGTTGCGTAACCTGACTAAGGACCCTGACACAGCCTAGCTAGAGGTCATCCCTGTCCTCAGCTACAGGCCCGGCGGAACATCTCCATCTTACAGGCCCGGTGGAACTGCATCGAATCACAGAATGCCCAGATCTCGCTCAGTAGAGAGTTCCGCCGGGCCAGAGCTAGGGTCGAAAAAGCCTTAGCTCTGGTCAAGGACAGACGAACACTCTTTGGGCCAGGGAATCACCAGTAGATTGTGGTCAGCTGAGCACAATGCTCTTTGGGGGATATACCAGGAGAGGAGGTTCTCCAGAAACCTTTGTTTCTACCTCACCTTTCTCCGCAGAGGGGACCCCCGAGCGGCTTACAGCCTTCTCCTCTCCTCCATTTTATCCTCACAACGACCCTGCGACGTAGGCTAGGCCGAGAGTGTGTGACTGGCCCGGGGTCGCCCAGCAAGCTACTGTGGCAGAGTGGGGATTCGAATCGGGGTCTCCCAGACCCTAGTGTAACCACCAGATCACACCAGATCTTGATTTATTTATTGCACAAAGACTGTCCTGTGTACAGAGTAACGTGGCTGGCACACAGTGGTAGCTATTAGATCAGAGGATGAGCCCAAAAGGTACCGCTGATCTTTCTGTTATTTCACCAAAAAATGTGCCGATTTGTTCAGGCGGGCACCCTCACAGAAGGAGTAGAGCTATATCACGGATCCGCTCGGGAAGTGACCCTTTTATTTAGTATTTATTAGTAGAGGTCATTTCCTGCAGGAGCGCACAGGAGCAGAGCTCCGGCAGTAAAGAGCCCAGGGGGCGGGCACATGCAACAAGCCCCGCCCCCTGCTCCCAGCAGCCCTCAGTCAGAGCAAGAAGCAGCC